TACTAAATGAGAAAATATGGAGCCAGTTAGGACAAGTGAAGTAAGATACAAGTATCCCTCCCCTAGTACCATCCCAGAAACTTGAAACCTAGTCAGTTCAGCCATAAAACATAATAGGAGGCCAAGGAATGTTAATAAAGCTAGAAAGTTGAACACATGCTCTGGGAAGCAAGATCACCATGATGTAAACCAGTAAAAATAGCTTTCTGAGGGTGAAAAAAAACCCTTTGTTCCATCTATGTACTATAGTTTCTATAGTTCCAACCAATTGTTTCATAGAATCTACCTCATTAATATGATATTCTGCTTTAGCTCATAATTTCCCATCAAAGAATCTAATCCTATGTATATTTTAATTTGCATAAATACACATAGAGCTGTTGCAGCCTCACCCAGTATTGTACAGATAATCCTTGTTTTATGACCATAATTGAGCCCAAACTTTCTGTTGCTAAGTAAGACATTTGTTAAGTGAATTTTGCCTCATTTTACTACTACTTGCCTTGCCATAATCACTGCAGTTGTTAAGACAGTAACGCAGTTGTTAAGTGAATCTGGCTTCCCCATTGACTTCGCTTGTCAGAAGATCACAAAAGGTGATCACATGACTCTGGGACACTGTAACTGTCATAAATATGAGTCAGTTCCCAAGAATCTGAATTTTGATCACATGACTCTGGAAATGCTGGAATGGTTGTAAGTGTGAAAAACACTCAGAAGTCACTTTTTTCCGTGCTGTTAACGATTGCTAAATGAACTGTTGTATTTCAAGGACCATCTGTATTAAGCAGCCTGTGCTTCATCAGAATTGCATGCTGGTTTCCAGTTTAAATGAACTATCTGGGAAAAGCCATGGCCTATTCTAAGGCCCTATTTCCTGTCCATGATAAACCATAACAAACTTATTCCAGATCTCTTTGAATGACATCCCATTTTAGTTCTGCAGTGAATAAATACCATAAACTAACAAAACAAAGTAGCATAGTTATGTATAGAATATGGTCACTATTCACTTTGCATATTAAGCTTTATATCACCAACCACTTATTTTTTATTCAGCATATATATTTCAGATAACAAGGAAGGAAATCTCAGATGTGGCAATCATAATATTGTCCTTATCCAACCACTTTATCTCCCTGTATTTTCAAAATTATTATTTTAATTCTACTGTGAATTTTAAATAAAAGCTTAGGTGTGAGATATACACTAGCATTTTTTAAAAAAATAAAATATTCTGTTCTCCAAGGATTTTAAGACAGAGAACAAATCATATTTTAGAGTATACCCCATAATCTTTAGGGTCAATTATCATTTTATTCATTGAATAATTGGGGGGGGGGAACTAGAGCCCTTCATTATTTAAGGCAAATTATTTCAGTAGTTTACACATGCTGAATTACAAACTATTCACATCTAAATTCAGAAAAGAATTTCTAAAGCAATCTTATTTGAAAATGAAATCAAAATGAAGAATAATGAATGTACGGTATGTTGTTTTGAAGTTGCAAAAACAGTAAGAATCAAAATGCAAGATGTTAAATAGAATCAGAGTTAGGTATGGTTTTTCACTGAAGGAGTGGAATGTTTGCAGTGGTTAACCTCTGTCCATCTTCTCAGAAGAAGCATGTGGGGAGGGCAAAGACCCCCTAAACATTATTTAACAGTACCACTTTTAGCCGGTGTTGGATACAATAGCATACATTTCCTTCTAGGTGCCTCCCCCAAATGGATTTATTGCATCCAATGTAGTCCAGACAAGACAGGTAAATGTATATTGATCTAATTTTACAATATCTGTGTGATTTACTTCTTGTGAAGAAATAGGGCAACATTTTGCATGTTAAGCAAATTATGTTATGTGCATCAATTTAAGTCATCTGCATAATGATATCATTATTCCAATAGCATGTTGATGTGTTTTAGCTAATTGTGTATTTTTATATTGAACAAACAAACATAATAGCTTCTTTCCACCAAATATTTTATTAAAATTAGGTCCCTGTGTTCATAATTTAGCAGTGTTTGTTTGGCAGAAAGAAAAAATGTGTTTGGCAGAAAGAGAAAATTAAAATGAAAAAGCAACATACCTTCACTAATTTCTCCTTTGCACTGGGATAACATTATTGCCTCAGTCCATGCTACTGGAAGATTCACATACTTCCCACAGCCTAATACGTTGAGCCCCAATCGTCTCTGTCCAGAATATAAAATAGAAAGAAGCAAAAGATTATAATATCATTTCCCCCCCCCCAAAAAAAAACCTAACAATAGACTTGGGGCTGAACTAAAGACTAATGAAATGAGCACATTCGGAAGGAATTCAGAAGAAATTCTTCAGACCTTGCACAAGTGTAGTGCCTCTGAGCTATTCATTAAAGCAGCCTGACATATTTCAGCCTTCTGCTTGGAATACATGTTGCTGATGCTGTTTAAGGAATGCATAAGACTCTTAAAGCAGTAGCATCTTTTGTCAAGACTGGAAAAGTAGAGCTGCTCTAATAAATAACAGAAACATAATGAATGGCAGTACAAAAAATAGCATTGTCAAAGTATGCAAAAACCCTATTTAAAGATAACATTTAAAATGAACTGCTGACAAGAAAATACAGGGGCCAGCGGAGATAGCAATGTTTTCATCCCTCAGGTTAACACTTAAATAAGAAGATAAATACTGAGTGTAATTATATTGTTACCATCAATTGAAGTGCCTTGCAACAAAGAGCAATTAATTACAAGCTCTGCATTCCAGCAATGACTTGCACTGAGCCAGTTTGTGAAGAGGGCATATGTGGTACCCAAAACCAATCCAATGAAACGTCTTTGGGCATTTGAGAGTAGGCTTTTAAAACATAATTCTGTCAGAGTTGGAGTAACTTTGCCTTATTTTTATACTGGATTGCCATAACAATATTTAACTTGACTACAAAGGGAAAGTCTGTCAGGCCATTTCTTTTTCCTCATCTCCTGGAACAAGAGGCAATAATTAAAAAAATAAAAAGTTTCCTGATGTCCTTTCCTTACCCCAAGATTGTTTTCATGAAATTACTTCAACGTGACTACATTTAAAAAGAAAACAAGTATTTCAAACATTTTCAGCCTGGCAATTTCTTATACATTTTAGATGTTAAAATACAAATTATTTTAACATTGTCCTTTCTGCACATCTGTGTATGAATAACTTTAAAAAGAAAATGAATATGATGTGGTAAAAAGTATTTTCATTAATTCTCAGGTCTTAAACAGCACCATAAACATTTAAGTTCAACAGATGGTCTTTATAAATGACTTTTTATAAATCCTATATATACAAACCTTGCATCTAGCAAGCATTTTTTTAGCCAGGTCTATGAATGCTTCCTTTCTTTCTGTTTCTGAGGCATTATTGAAATTCTCAATAAATTTTTCAGTAAGTTCAAATGGATTTCTAGAAAGATACATGGAAGAGAATATCAATTTAATTGGACAAATACATAGAATTAACCTTTCAAGCATAAAAGAACATAAAGCTTATTTAATTTTAAAAGATCCATTGTGTAATGTCAGTCTTTAAGATTATCTACTGCTGTCTCACTTTTACAAAAGAATTTATAGCTTCTACACACTTGAAAATCCTGTCCTGGTAAGATCAGAACAATTTATCCTGGTAAGATCAGAACAATATATCTATGTGACAGGACACTCTTCTATCTAGATGGAAATACTAGTTTTCTATCCTGAAAGTAATCTAGCTTAAGAAGTTGCTGTCCAGAATTCAATCTATTCATTAGTTCTGGCAATGAAATAGGCCAGGCTTTGGCCTAGATGGAGGTTACCAAAGCTCCTGGCTGGTACACTCCTGTGCATCTTTACCACTTCCATCTTAAGGTAACATCTGTTGTTACCAGAATTACTGTTACTAAGTGATGCAGTTGTAAACCCAGTATCACATGACTCTGCAATTTAGCAATGGCAGTTCTGCACGTCCAATTGTTAAACAAATCCCACATCATCATTAAGTGCAAACTCACATGGTTGCCTTTACAACCTCCTGCCAGCTTTGCCAGTGCCTTTGCTTGCAGGAAGATAGCAAAGAAGGTCACAAATTCTGATCGTGTGACTGTGTGACACTACAATGTCATAATTGCAATCCGGGTGCTGAACAATCACATGCAGAGATGCTGCAATGGCTGGAACTTTGAGTACAGATCATAAGTATCATTCGTTCAGCACTATTGTAAGTTTGAATGATCACTGAACAAGTGTTATTAAAGTTTTGAATGGTCACTAAACAAATGGTTATTAAATACTGGGAAAATAAGAGCCAGTTGTTTGTCTTCTGAAGAGTGGGTCTTTCAGGATGCACACTTTCTGTACAAGATATCTATTATTGTCTCTCCCTTGTACTTGACATCTTTCAACTGTAACAGGTACATTATATGCTGGGAGGGTACTGGTTTAAGCTCTCTCAGTGTGACTGTGAAACTCTGCCTACAGTTAGCAGCTCATTTGGAATTGTTCAAAATACTGTTTGACTGGAAGTCACGAAAACAATGTGAACATCAACATGTTCTTCCTCCTACATTTCCACTGCTATTGAAAACCTTCTTTGCCCAACTATTTTCCAAAGGAAAGAGAATTCACTATCTCTGCAAGTACCAAGTGCAATTAATTTCAAATCTTTTCCAGGATAAAAATTAAGTAAATAGCTGGAGCCACAAAAGTACAAACATATGCATGGTGAAGGAAGAACATTGTTGATTTCACAAAACCAAAACAAAAATATAAAGCCAGATTCTTATATGAAGTGGACACCGTGGATGAGACAAATTAGTAAGAAGGGGATTATGAAAAAGGATTAATTGGTAAGTCCACTGTGAACCTGGACATTTAGGCCTAGCTTTTTTAAAACATACATTTATAAATGATACTGTTGTCATTAGGAGGCAGTTCCTATTCTCATCTCTCTTGGATTAAATGGGTCCTAGTGAACTAGAAAAGAGGTTCTCAATTCTGTCCTTCCATTTCTGGCATGTTTTCCCTGAGAGTCATTTAATATCAATTATTGCACTTATCAATGCCATGCTGTAAGCTTCAACCATATTATTTTGACTATTTTGAATTTTTTATCAATTGTGTCCTATATTTCCTTTCCTTTTCTATAATTTCATTTTTAAACTTATTTTGCTTCCTTATTTTTCCACAGTTGGCTTAAGACTGCTTACCCAAAAAGGAAATAAATAATGTGATGGATTTGTAGGTGTGTCTGCATCAGTTTTGCTGGATTTTATCCTCTGCTGTGAATGCTTCTATGATTCTCACTGATTTGTTTTTAATAAACAAAGGAGCCACCCTGTGGCAAGTTTGGATTTTTTTTCTGGAGAAAAGTAACACTTAGCTAGGAATGTTGTTGGTTTTTTTTTAAAAAAAAATCTCAAATACACTCTTAGTTAAGGGGTGTATATTAACTACAGAAAATATTCCTGTATTTGTTATGACACATCAGGTTTTGTGCAGTTATGCCATGGGAATCACTTGAAATTCTAAAGTAAAACTATGCCTTTTCCTTTTTGTTTAATCAGTTGTTTGACTAATATTGCCTGAAGTAATTGGTTCAGTTTTATTTGTAGATGTTAAATGTTTGATATAATATTGTAATTCATATCTATACGTATTTATTAAGAAACTAATATAGAAAGTTTTAATCAATAACTAAACTTGCAAAAATTAAATAATTGATACATAGGCATACTAGAAATCAGGGACAGAACAGAATGTCTTTGAAAGAGTAAAAATCATACTTCCTATTAGCAGACTAAGAAAAAAGACCAACTTACACAATGCTATCTCTCTCCTTTAATTCTTACAAGGCAAAATAGTAACTAGAATAGTTCCACATAGGTCATTAAGCAAGGAACTCAACTGATCGTGACTTCCAAATTCTTGTCAACTTCCCCCTGACTCTCATTGTGGAAAGCTGGCAGGGAACGTTGCAAATCGCAATCACATGACTGCAGGAGTGGTGCGCCAGCCAGAATTTTGAGGACCAATCATAACTATCACTCATCTGAATGAGGTCAGCACCACGTCACGTTCGAACAGTTGCTGAATGAGTGTTTGTTAAACAAGGGCCACCTGTACGAAGCTAGTAATATGTTAGATCAGTGGCCAACAGAAATATATTAATTAAAGTTACGGTTAACCATCATGCTGCTTCGAAGCTAATGACATTACTTCATGGATTGCATTTTTATCAGAAATAACCATTAATAATGTATGAATGTATCTAAGTCTATTGCACTAAGCATATATTTGCTAGGAAGTCATCATTGTATCAAACTATGACATATACTATGATGATATAGTGTAAGGCACCTTGATGTATGAATTTAATTATGCATGTAATAATCAATTGTCCACAGTCTTGGAATAACTTGTAATGATAGACATAGGATGCTATGAACTCTTCATGATAAGTGTACTGTATTCTTCTTACATTATTAATCTGCCAACTGATAGCAATATATTTATGATGAGATGGATTTCGTGTGTCTGTGTGTGTGTGTGTGTGTGTGTGTGTGTGAGAGAGAGAGAGAGAGAGAGAGAGAGAGACTATACCTTGGCTAAAAAAGTCCAGATGACTAACAGGGACTAGAGAAGTGTTAAAGGTGGCAGAATCTCTTTCATCTCCTTCATTATTTATATAATTATTTATTGCATTTATATTTTGCCACAATTAAAAACAACTCTTGGTGATTTATACAATATAACTCCAAGTACAAATTAAAAACCAAAACAAAGCAGTATAAAAAAGCTATATGAAGAAATCAATGAAAAGAAATTGATGGCAAGATCTAAGCTAAAACACTCTGCAAAATAGCTGATTTTCAGCATCTTACTAAGTGAAGTCAGGAAAGGAGCAAGTCTGGAGAAGAAAGATTATTCCAGATTATGCCTAGTGCTTGTCATTTGTCAAGAACGTAAGGAGGTGTATTTAAGTAACATTATCACCCTCTTCAAACAGTAAATTATCCAAGCAATCTTCTGTTTCCTTTATTTTTTAAGAAGGTATCACAGAAATTAATTTTATTAGTTCTCATCAAGAAAATTAATGTCATATAAAAATTCCATTTAATGGAACCTTAAAATCAATTTTTAAAATGTATTTAAATTCAACTGACAAGACACTGATGATAATGACTCACAGATGAGATTCAATATGGATTCTACTATTTCATTTAGGCAAACAGATAATATTATTCTAAGTAATTATTCTAAGTTTCACTCCATCTATTATTGTTATAATAGAGAGCTAATTTCTTAAACATGAATCTTATTAATAGTTTCCAGTAAATTCCAGGCCATGGGATAATATTCTAGTTCCTAAATGCGGAGGACAGCTTTATTTTTGCTAACTCAATTTAAGTGCTAAGATTATTTTGGTTTCTTATTCCCCTTTTTCCTTAAGCAGATAGTGTTACATTTCCCTATTATTTATATAAAGCTCTTCAGGTGTTAACATTTCCTATCTCTGAAATCCAATATCGCATGACAGCACTGCTTAGCGACGGCAATTCTGAAAGTCCCCGTTGCGAGGTCATTAAGCAAGGTCGTGGGTCATCAAGTGAAATCTTCCTCACAACTTCCCCCAGCTTCTAACAAGCAAATTTAATGGATAAGAGCCAGTGTTTCTCAACCTTGACAATTTTAAGGCATGTGGACTTCAACTCCCAGAATTCCACAGCCAGCATTGCTGGCTGTGGAATTCTGGGAGTTGAAGTCCACATGCCTTAAAATTGTCAAGGTTGAGAAACACTGGATAAGACGATAGGAAGTCGCAAGTCCTGGGCAGCTCACAAGCAGGTTAGTGGGCAGGTAAGTAGTTGCTATGGCATGATGAAACCACAACCAAGCATCTGGGGGGGGAGAGGTGCTCTGGAAGGTAAAGAGGGAACACAAGCCACAGCCCAGCCGGGTCAGGATAGCTGCTGGTGGTGGCAGGAGGCTATGTGTGTGGCTGCTGTGGCACCACACAAGGCGTGTGTGTCCTACAGAATAAGAGAACCCTGGGATCTTACACTCCAGGCTAGGTTCTTTGGGAGAAAAAGTGATGGGAATGGGAGTGATTTACAGGAGTGACATGTGACCTTCCCTGCTGGCTTCCCCATTGATTTCACTTGTGAGAAGCCAGCAGGGAAGGTCACAAATGGTGATCATGTGACCATGAGACACCACAACCATCGTTAAGTGCAAGCCAATGCAGTTTCCCAATGCTCAGATCATGATCAGATGACCGCAAGGGTACTGGGATGGCCAGAATTTCAAGGACAGATCATAAGTACCATTCATTCAGTGGTGTCATAACTTCAAACAGTCGCTGAATTAGTGGCTGTTAACTGTGCAAGGAATCTATTAGCATAGGCTGAAAAGGCAAAGGTGAAGTCATGTCCCATCTATCATATTGTACACCAGGGGTAGTCAACCTTGGCTCTTTTATGACTCGTGGACTTCAACTCCCAGAATTCCTGAGCCAGCACTGGGAGTTGAAGTCCACGAGTCATAAAAGAGCCAAGGTTGACTACCCCTGGTGTACACCATATCTTTCATGTTCTATATTTTGAGGACACTTTATTTAAACTCTAACAAAGTGTTTCACCCACTTGCTCTTTTGTTTAAGACATGGGTTGAGAACCCTGAAAACACTGAAGGTATAAATACTGCATCAATTATCAATATTTAAACTTACCGAAGTGGTTTTATCTTGAAATCAGCTGAACATTTTTTCAGATATTCAGTCACCAGTCTCTGATGGAGCTTTTCGTGCTCTTCAGGGGACACAATGCCAAAGTTATAATGCACCGGCACTTTTAAAATAGGCATGGTGTTGTAAATTCAGTCTTAAAACAAAAAACAAAAACAGTACAGCCAAAAGGAAAGATTACGATTTCCTATACAAGACTAAGCTTTAAAAGTTTTTTGTCATGTCCTCCAGGGAACTGAAGAACAAAACAAAACAAAACAAAACAAAACAAAAGCAATAATCTAGCTATCCTAAAAGGAACAAGCAATTTAAAAAAACTTAGGTTTTTTTTTAGCACTCTACTTAGAAAACAATTTAAACTGCATTTATGTTAATCAAATATTCATAATAGAATAGTTAAAATAAAATTCCAATATGTTATGCTATTTACATTAAAAATACAATTGTTGAATTGCATCTGGATTCATGCCAAACTGTTTGATTTATTCCAATCTCTCTATTTCATTATTATTTCTTGATCAGTTAATTAGCCAGCACAACAGACTAGCTTGATGTTTGATTAATCAATTTACATGTTATTAAGTGATATGTGATAGGCAATATAATATCAAAGACTTACAATATTATCCACAAATAGAACTAAATAATGGAAATGTCCATTAAAATTACATCACTATTTAAAATATAAAAATTCCTAAAATATAATTTAAACTATGCTGTTGATGAATGTAAAAATAATTGCTTATAAACTTCACAAGTAAAACATATCCCCAGATATATGTTTTATTATAGCCCCTCCAAAAAAGGCAGACAGTAATTATCACATCAGAGATACCTGAGCAGGGGGTTGGACTAGATGACCTTCAAGGTCCCTTCCAACTTTACTATTATTATTATTACCTTATAATAAAATTATGCCTGTAGCATTAAGAAAACCACATGATAGATGATCCACTTAAAATCATTCTTTGGTTTTAAGGCTGTTGCTGTCTAAGGACTTATAGTGGAGAGCCTATGCTATCATCAGAAATACAGGTAATCCTCAGATTACAGTGGCAACCGTAATTTCTGTCGCTAAGTGATGAGGTTATAAAGTGTGAAGTCATGTGATTGTATCATACAGCAACAGCAATCCCAGCAGGCCCGGTTCCTGTCATAACCCCAGGACTACACAAGTTGCTAAGGAAGAAAAGGCAGGAGTCCCAAGCAAGCAGGGCAGTGGGTGAGAGTGGTGGACGTCAAGTGTCCCAGGCAAATGCTACAGAGCAGAGGTTGGTAGGTGGATTCCACAGACAGGCAGGCGAGAAAGCAGCAATAACAGGAGTGCCTTGCGACCTCCTGCCAGCTTTCCCATTGACTATCCATGTGAGAAGCTGGCAGGAAAGGTTGCAAATGTTGATCAAGTGACCATGGGATGCTACAACTGTCATAATTGTGACCCGGTTGCCAAGTGTCCATATGACAATCAAAGCATTGCATGTTATAAGTCTCCCTTGTTGAACATTGTCCTAAATTTGCTGACCTGTAATCTGTTCTATCCCAGCCTATTGCCGTCCTTGTTAGAGGCACAAGGACCAAACCCCTGCTGATACAATAGGCTGGAAACTTTAAAACAAAACAAAATCCCTTTTATTTGGGTGACAATCCTGTCAATAAGTCCAAAACACAAACAGCAAACCTCAAGTTCAAAGGAAGGAAATAGTCCACAGGAACATGTTGCAAACAAGACGAACAGACCAAGATTCCAAGAAGCACTTTGCAAACGGTTGCCTTCAGCAACCAGCAACGCCCACACCTCCCCTTTTTATACAGCAGTCCCAGGGCGTTGCCTCTCATTGCCTTCTCCTTTTACTTTGGAGTAGTCGCATAGACTGTTGTTGTTTTCTTGCTACTTGACGACGTCTGTGAGCATCAATTAGCTCATCCAGGTGTGAGCCTTCCGAATCTGACTCCTGCTCCTCACACAGCTGAGCTTCATCAGAAACACGACTGGAGGGGCCAGGCTCTTCATCAAGCCGTGAGTCTTGTAATTCATCAGAGCCTCCCTCTGACCCTGATGGCCCCTCAACGGCCTCCTCCACATCCTCCTCAGATTCCTCAGACTC